ACTCTGACACGTGCTACTTCGTTTCTTCTTTGCGTTTTGCCTTCCCGGAAATGCTCCAAGATGCTCTCATGTCAATGCTACTCCCGAGAAGTCCCCCACCCGAAGAGCAACTGCCAAGCAGATTGAATGCTGATTGTTTCATTCATACAATGCAAAACCTGCGTAACATCAGTGTCACTCCTATAGTTGGAGCCGACTTCCTTCAACTTCCCCGGGCCAATCGTCAATGACATCATCCGAGACCACCAAAGTGAGACTCACCAACACACGCATGCACTTGCGCACATAGCGTAAAAACTCAACAAGTAAGCACGGGGCATGCATGCATGCAAGATGGGTTGATCACAAACATATCCAGAGAACACAGCAAACAAAGTCTGAATCTGAATCTTTAGCTGCAAAAACATCAACGGGACAATGGACAGGATTTTCTCTGAAAAGTGCAGAGTTCTTGCACATCACAAAACAAAAACGATGCTGCGAAGGTAATGGCTCCCCAAACAAAACACTCAAAGATAAAAGGAAAAAAAGGCTCGGCGCCGTCGGCGGCATATGATAGGGGAGTTCCTTATGCTTTTTCTTTCTTTTGTGCTTTTTTTCCTTTTCTGTTTTTGCGGGCGAAGCCGCAACGGGTCATCTAGTGCCATATAACAACTATCAAGTAGCAACCCCTCTATCCCATCTTCTGGACCAGTATAACAAGCAACCCACTCTATTGCAGCTTCATGCCCAATAATCTCTCTCTCTCTCTCTCTCTCTCTCTCTCTCCCGATAATCTCTCTCCCTCTCTCTCTCTCTCTCTCTCTCTCTCTCTTTTCCAGAAGAGAACTCATGGTTCTGGTCATGCGCAGATAGTCATCATTCTACTTTGCAGGCTGAAAGATGCCACATCTGCTCATTGATGGGTCACCTTAAGTTCCATGTGGCCGTGCAATCTGAAAGAGTTTCCGGAAATGATTGGTGCTCCGGGTACATACATGTGGCTGTGACCTTGGTGCCACTTTTGGCGAGCACCCCACAATTCCAAGGATGCATCTCAAGCTGGTGCTCCTACCTCTGTCTCCTCACCCTCCCCTTCCCCCTCCAGCTCACAAATAGCACCAGTGGGGCCTGGTCCTCGCTTTCCGAGCTCTTAAAGAGGTATGTCTGTCTGGGCCTTCTTCAGTACGTTAGATTCTGGAGCACTGACCACCCCTGATGTGAAAGGTGGATTCATGGACCTGCCAAACCACAAATCTGGTTGATTTGATCAACGTTGCGATTTCAGCCATAGAAGGCATTTAATCTTGTACACTTTGTCACTTACCCTTCTTCACTCGAATAGAGCGTCCAGTCGTTATATCTGTCTTTGGGGCAACTTTCAGTCCACATGGGCGACAGCGCGTTCTATTGGGGTTGAAGACAGCAGTGGTAGCAGGAGCCAATGTGCCCTCATTTTCCTTGTTGTGTCTGTGCCTGATTTGGTCGGAAACGCAGAGAACACAACAGGAGTCAAGCGAGCAAGCAGACTGAGAACGGAAAGAAGCAACAAGTCGAGGGGCGGTGATGGCGGTTTCGACAGAAGCCTTTGTCAGGGCAGTGCAATGGAGTACAAGTGTGGCAGTGAATGACAGAGGTCTGACTGTGGAGAATTGCGCTTCACATCGGGTTGGTGAGATGGGGGCAGTTAGCAGGAGCTCCATGAGGCTGTCAACTGATTGCGCAGCGAGCGACCGGTGGGTCATGCACGGGCCAAACCGGGACGAAGTTCTGGCTTTGGAACATAGTTGGCGGCAAAGAGGAGGATGGCAGTGCTCGGCAAGAAGAAGGGAGGGTCAAATTATGGACTGGAAGACGTTGACAACTATGAGGGGAAGGACTTTCAAGGCAGTGTCGGTGTGGGGCATGGAGGGGGAGGAGGAGGACGAGGAGCAGGAGGACAAGGGTCATAGGCGGGAGAATTCAAAAAGTTCGATGAACGGGAGATGGAGGGGAAGTGCCAGAATGCGATCGGTGGCAACGATGGCGTCTGCATCAGCTGCAGCTATATCAACGGCAAGGACAGGAGAGAAGGAGACGATTGGCGGGGAGGCTGATACTGCAAGGGCGGAGGCGCAGACACGCGTTGACGTGTTGGCGGAAGCGTTGCCATATATGCAAAGATTTCGCGGGAAAACTATCGTCGTTAAGTATGGAGGGGCAGCAATGAAGGATGAGAGTCTGAAAGCTGATGTGATTAAGGATTTAGTGCTGCTGACGTGTATCGGCGTGAGGCCAGTGTTGGTGCACGGAGGGGGCCCAGAGATCAACCAATGGTTGAAGAAGTTGGGCATCCAGTCGGAGTTTCGGAATGGGTTGAGGGTGACGGATGAAGCGACGATGGAGGTAGTGGAGATGGTGCTCGTCGGGAAAGTGAATAAATCGATCGTGTCGTTGATCAACAAGGCAGGAGGATCAGGTGTGGGCATGTGCGGTAAGGACGCAGGGTTAATTACCGCAAGAGCATTGGATACAGGCTTAGGTTTTGTGGGAGAGGTAGCAAGCATGGACACAACGGTGTTAACGGAACTCGTCGAAGGCGGGAGAATCCCGGTGGTGGCCACCGTGGCGGCCGACTTGTCAGGACAAGCGTACAACATCAACGCCGATGCAGTGGCCGGAGCGCTAGCAGCATCGCTGAAGGCAGAGAAACTGATATTGATGACCGACGTGCCTGGAGTGATGAGAGATGGCAAAGACATTGCGTCATTGATAACGGAGGTGGATGTGGAGGGAGCAAGGAATCTGATGGCAGAAGGAGTGGTGTCCGGGGGAATGATTCCGAAGGTGGAGTGTTGTATCCGCGCACTGAGCAACGGTGTGAAGAAGGCGCATATCATTGATGGAAGGGCACCGCATTCACTCCTCATGGAATTACTCACCGATCAAGGAGCGGGAACCATGATATCCCCTTAAATTATCAGTTCGCACGAAGCTAAGTAGTGCTCTTACCAGTATACCTGGTGAGAGCATGTCGATTCGGGCCTGGGACGAGAGTGAAAGCGGGAGGCCACTTTGAAAAGGCAGAGTTGCAGGCTCGTGAGGCTTGGAAGGTAGGTTCGTGAACTTAGGCTCGTGTGAATTGGTGGTTTTATGATAAGACTGATTATTTCATGGTGACGTTTGAATTGATTCAATTTGATTGGGTTGTGAATGCAATGGAATGACCCATGGGCATATTGTGTCAATGCAATTGCAGTTATTGCACTTCAATCGCAATCCAATCAATTCCCTTCATAGTTTTGATAACCCAATGGCCTCCATCGTATATGCATCTGCAACAGAACACCTTTGCGGTGAGCTCTCCTCTTTGCGTCAGCAATGCACGTTTTCGTCCTCCTGTACATAAAGAACATGGACATGCTCATTTTCTGTGAATAGAGAATAAAATGATCCTGTCCCATTGTATATGCATCTGCAACAGAAAACACCTTTGTGGTGAGCTCTCCTCTTTGCGTCAGCAATGCACATTTTCATTTTCGTCTACCTGTACGTAAAGAACGTGAACATGCTCATTCTGTAAATAGAGAATAAAATGATCCTGACAATGTGACACCGTGTTTTTTATGGAAAATGTGCACGGCAGGCATGGTACACATGATTTGGATGTATGTATTTTCCATAGACACGGTGTCACACTTTCAGGATCATGTTATTCTCTATTTACAGAATGCTCATGCTCATGTTCTTTATGTACAGGAGGAGGACGAAAACGTGCATTGCTGACGCAAAAAGGGGTGCTCACTGCAAAGGTGTTCTGTTGCAGATGCATATACGATGGGAGAGGCGGCAGAACACCTTTGCGGTGAGCTGAGAGGCAGGCGGTTAACGGAGGCCTCAATTTTTTTGCAGACTTGTCATGCCGTTTATAACAAAACTCAAGGGTCATTTTAACCGAACTTGCCACCCATTCATTCATAGAGTGGAGATCATAACTACTTGCAAAAGCAAAACGAAAAAAAAAACCTATAAATTTAGTAATTTAAAATACTAAAAAAAGTTTTTAAAACCTATAAAACAGCAAGGCAAACGTGCACTTTCATGAAATTTTACCAACCCTTCAAAAAACAAATACCAACATTCCAATTTCAGAAATCTTCAGAAATGGGGGGTCAAGGTGCCGGAAAACCCTCCATCAAGGGCCTTTCAGTTCTCACATTCACAACAAACAAGGTGCTACTACACAAGCAGTGTTCACCTCTTTTCCGGTTGTACACTCCGGAGACGGAATGCCGTTGATCATAAACACCAACGTCGAAACTGTAGTCATGGATTGCTTTCTGCTCAGGAAAGTAAGACTTTTAGGAACGTGGCCGAAAAGCATCTACAGATTCGAGACAGCGCTGCGAAACTTGGAGTGTGACCCAGGGGAGTGGGCATGGAAACCAGATAAGAAGGCAAATATTAACAGACACATCCCCATACAGGATTACATGGTCAAGCTAGGTTATAAACTAATGTTGAAATAAAAAAAGACCCAGATCCGGTTATCAAAGCCAGGTGGCAAAGACGGTTAGGTCAGGAAGCCGACAGCATCACGCAAAGTCCGTGGGTAATCTATAAAGCGAGCAGACCTGTCAAAATCAGAAGTCTCCAGAGGCTAATAACATATGCAGCCTTGCCAGTTAATGAATGGTTGCATTTTAGGCGGAAAGGTTCTAACCCAGACAGCTCTGATCTTTGGAAGGTTTGTACAGAGAATGTAGCAGAAGACATAATACACTTCCGTTGAATTGAGGGACTGTGGCTGAATTGAGGGACGACAACATTCGTTGGAAGGACTGGCAGATCTCAAATGCAGGATGAAGAGAGGGGCAACAGAGAACAATGCAGGGACAAGGCTCCCCCTTGGCAGATTCTTAAAGAGAAAACGTTCAACGAAATTCATCACTTCCGTTGAAGTACAGCCAGGGACTGTGATAGGCCTACTAGGAAAGGACGTATTAGGAAAGGAGAGATGTCAAGTATTACTAAAGAGGCCCAGGGGGTACAGCTAAAGAGGGAACGTGGGAGAAAGGAGGACATTTTTTGGAGAAAAGGATAATGCTGGTGGACCATGAACCGAGGTTGCAAAGAAGATTTTAGCACAAAGGTCTGGACTCTGGAAGTAAATGAAGTCCTGCCAGGCTCTAAGGTTGATGATCGGAGGACAGGAACACAGACTGAGGGTTGTAGGGTTTAAGTTTTGACGGTTGATCTTTCAAAAGGGAAGAGAGGTGTGTGGGGAGGTAACAGGTCGGCAAAGACAACGGATGAGCTCTTTCTAAAGGTCGTTGGCGTTATCTGGCAGATCTGGAATCCAGGTCTGAGAGGGAAGAGAGGGACAGGGCAAGCTGACAGTCAATCCTCCACTGCGGCGGAGCAATCAATGCTATTCAGGGGTCCTTCGGCCTGACGGAAGGAAGCGTGTGAGTGGTTATTGATGTAATGTATATTTTGACTTGCCGGGGGAATAGGAACCGGACTGACGCAAAAAAAAAAAAAAAAAAAAAAAAAGGANAAAAAAAAAAAAAAAAAAAAAAAAAAAAAAAAAAAAAAAAAAAAAAAAAACACTTCAGAAATCTTCAGAAATCTTCAGAAATTTCAGAAATCTCGGAAGTGGGGGTTCCTGTTAACCACTTGTGCCCCTTCTGCTGACGAGAGTGGGTTTTTTAACTTTCTTTTCTCTGTGCGGAGGGCAGGAGAGGGGGGGGGAAGGGGGGGAACATTGCCTGAATCCCTTATGCGTGGGGAGCTTCACGTGCTGGGAACCAGGCCCAGCGTCCCTTGTGAACATTTAACAATTGGAAAAATCAGATAGTTACCGCAACTTACGGGGGCCATGACCGGCTTCAAGAAAGAAATTTTAAAGAAAACCATATCCTACAGTCCTACTACATAAATTTTACGAATTGTAATGACCCGCCAAAAACACAGACTGAGAACACTGCTGATTTCTGGGATTTGTCACTGGAATGAATGCCTTGCTGTGATTCCCGCATTCTGCTGCGGTTCCAAGTCTGTGTGTGTGCATACCTGCTGGTTTACATGCCTGTCTGAGTGCTTGCCGGTTGTGTGTGTGTGTGCGTGCCTGCTGGTTTGCATGCCTGTCTGAGTGCTTGCCTGTTGGGTATGTGTGTGTGACCCGCAAGGGTACTCGTTGGTTGCAAGGCCCCATCGGGCCGGTACTTACCTGTGGCCGTGACTGCGAGGGTTGCAGGGGGGTAAACACGCCGGTAGCGGGGGGTAGGCCCACGGCACTTAGAGCAGCTGGGGAAAAACACTCAAGTAGCAGGTAGGCCGAGCAGAAGAAGACAAAAAGTTGGCATTTTTAGAGTCCCAGTAGCGGTAGGTTACAGGTAGGCCCCGGTACCAGTCCAAGTAGCCCGGGTCTAGGCCCTGTGCGGACAATAACAGAGCCTGCAATGATGTTTCCCTCCGAAAAGGGAGGAGGTACCGGTTGCCGGGAGGCCACTCGGCCTAGGAAGTCACCGCCCAGGAGGCCGGTAGGCCGCTATATCTTCAGGAAGAGCGAAGAGCTCTTCCTCATTTGTGGTGTGCAAGGATTGGCGTCATGCTGCTGAAGCGCTCGCGCTGGTCTGCTACAGCGCTGGGAGGAGGTGAATGTAGCTGGGATCTCAGCCTGGCTATGGCGAGCAACCCAGTCTTCATCACCTGAGGAGGAGGAAGAAGGGGTAAGGTAGGAGAGTGGCGAGGCGCTTACCTGGCTATGGAAGACACCATCTTCATAACCTTGTTGGGCGCTGCGTCTGGAAGGCCCCAGTTGGGGTAGTGCGGCACCAGGGAAGCTCGAGGCAGAGTCAGCCATAGAGGACCAAGTCAGCAGCGGCATAGCTGCTCTGCGTTGTCCTTTGCGCATCAGCGCAGCACCATAGCTGCCTGGGTTGCCCTTCGGACATCAGCGCAGCACCCTAGCTGCTTGGAGTAGTCAGCCATAGCCTATGCAAGAGAGAGGAGGCTGAAGGAGGGAAGCCATAGCTATGGACTGGTTGTTGTTGTTGTTGTTGTTGTTGAGTTGAGTCAGCAGTAAGAGGGAACTTCGGATATTGATTCTGGTTCATCCATTCATTGTTATTATTATTATTATTGAGAGAAGAATAAGATTGGTGAAGAGGAGGAGGAGGAGGAAGGTGGAGAGAGAAGGGGGAATTGTCATTGGTCTTGCTGGTGTACTACTTCTTCTTCTTCTTCTTCTTCTTCTTCTTCTTCTTCTTTACCTCTCCTCTGGTCTTCATCTCTTTGCAAGTGCTTTCATTTCTTTCGCAATTGGGTGGCATTGTCTTTCATTGTGAATTTGCACTTGGGAAATGACCAGGATCGTAACAAAATTGGAGCGTCTAAAGAAAATTAGCAAACAGCCGAAATAGTTATTTATTTTTTGAGAAAGGAGAAGAAAATGGCAAGAGGCTGTGTATAATATAATAATATATAGATCTGTGGGTGTTTTGCTGGCTTGTGATGGGGTGTGAACCGACAGTCTGTAGAGTTTTCCATCTGGTGTGGGTGAGCGATAGTCTGCTATGATTTTCGTCACAGGTACCTTGAGGGCAGTGGTTGGTGGTCCCCACCTCCTCAGAGGGCTATCATCGTTGATGCTTGTCCACAACCGGCGCTAAGGTGGATTATCACTTACAGACTTACAGTGTAATCTGTTAGGGGATTCTGCAGACTGTCGAGGGTTCAGCCTCCTGATGAGTCAGTCGGTGAAACTCCGACGAAACAGTTTGTCACAGCCCCTCGTTTGTTGTCCTCTCTTCTCCCTCTCTGCCTACGGTTAACCGGGCAGCTCTGTTTGGTGATATATAGATCTCTGATATTTCTGAGCCACAGGTTCGAGTGTGTGCGGATATTCCTTCCTGCCCAAAGAAAATCTAGTCGAGGAACCTCAGAGATGAAGCACAAAGGAGTGGGGGAAGTGTAAGAGTTGGAAAAGCAGTAACCAAAAAAACAGAAGCAGAAGTGAAAATAATATATACGACAAAGCAAAGTCAAAAAAGCATGGTTATAGTCCTTTGGGGCATCCGTTAAAATTGGAACGATACAGACAGAGAAGATTAGCATGGCCCCTGCGCAAGGCTGACACTCGTAAATCGAGAAATGGTCCAAATTAAACAGAAAAAAAAAAGAGCATTGTTACGAATCTTACGATCCCTTTCTAAATCATTTTGTCAAGCACAGCCAGGAAATCAAATTCTTGGTGGAAATCATCAACTTT